CCCTGTGCCCCTACTTTGTCGGTTATCAATCATTACCGCCTCCCACAGCCCCAACTTGAAAGGGATCAAGTACGTCAGTCAACTTGTCAATCAACCTGTCCATCAACACAAATTCCATTCTTTGTCTCACGCGTTGCAAATACACGATATAGTTGTTTGCTAGTACTATGACATAGATTCATGCGGTAACTCATGTTCTAAAACACCGGCATTTTTTGGCGTCAAATTCGAAGCACGCTTTGTCATGATCCTTTCATCGAGTTCTCAATCAAACCCAATCTTCTTGAAGGTTAAAGCAAGAGCAATGCTATAGTTGGATTATTCTCCCTTCCTTGACTCGTCATGTATTCACCAGTTCAGGCTATTACTTTGCTTCAAATTGTCAAAGTGAGTACAATATCTATCAACTCAATCGCTCAAACATTGAATACAATCAAATAGTATATGAACGGTCAGCATTTCTACCAAAAGTATTTACTTTTGATTAAGATAGGCATAGTCTGCAGTTTCTCTCTTCTGGTGAGGAGGCGTCTTCAAGTGTGGCGCAGTATTCTCAAACCATTGACCACAACCGATCAGATATATGACTGCCTTTCGACCCTGGATATGGAGGTATATAAGAAAAGCACTCATCGTTGAAGCCGTTGACCAAATTTACCTGAGGTCGAATACGTATGGAAAGCCAATTGGGGAGTAGGGAAGATCCTATTTCTCCTAGAACGATATACGGCATTCATTGATGTTCCCATGATGGTCTATTGTATACCATTTGTCCTGAGGTTCTCGCTTATCATTGACCTCGTCTTTCCTTAGACTCTCTTGTGTCAAATCCTTCGAATGAAGTATGTTTGAAATAATATTTCGTCTGTCAGGCCGCTTATTGGATGATGCAGATGTGTAAATGTCTGTATTCTGTCGCTTGTTGTAAGAATCGGACAATCACATAGTTAACTCCTACAATTTCATATCTCTAATCAGGCTCCATCGCTTTCGGTATTTGTATTGCAGAAGGTAAGCCATACTATGAGACCATTTGCAGCAAGCTCGACGACCAATTACAGTGATCTTAATCATCAGAACGTATGCTCTGTGGGAGAAGAGTCGGAAAATCCTGTTTTTCCTTCTTATTTTATATCTAGTAAGGCGGCAGTTTCGTTCCTCTTCGAACCATCTGTAACATGCTCTCAGTGTTTCGTCATTACAAGCGTCGTGATTTTAGCGCTATCTCTGCATTCTGTAGAGTGTAGGCACTCTGTCCATAATTTTACTTGGTCGCTGAAAGAACGTATGCTTTAGATGAGATTCCTACCCTCTCATCGGGATGTCATGCTGTTCACAGAGGTATAGACATCATGTTTGTCGACTTTCTGTTACTCAGCGTTTTCGAAATAAGTACGTTGGTCATCCTTATTCTTACCGTCTTACCTGACTACGGAGATAGCAATCATGATTCTCACGGTATGGATTGGCTTAGCTTGTTTTCGCCATTCTAGAAATCCTCTCGTTGTCACTCTTTACCAAGACGGAGTGCTTTATTTCATTTGGATATTTCGTGAGTACTGCCAAGTCAAATGGTGAAAATTATCCATAACAACACATTTCCAGTGATCTCCCTTGGAAATATCATCATTCTCGTAGCCGGTCCAGTAAGCTCTGTTGTAAATCATGTCCGATAATTTGACTAATCTATGCAAAATTAGCCCGAACTCGTAGATCTCATCACTACGTAAGCGTCTTCTAACTCACCGCCCGACTCATCTAACTGTGTCATCCATCTCATTTAGCTTTCAGAGAGTAATTCACAGCATTCTGTCGACCCGCATCATCTGTCATGTTCGAGCTGCCCTAGATTCCAGTCTCAATGACCCCTGCTCGCTTGCAACGATCACCGACGTTCAATTGAAGTCCCTCGAGAGCCTCCCTTTCCACGGTGAACACCTCTCTGACATTGATCAAGATACGTGGACTCATCCTTTGCACCATCCGTCAATCGGCACCGTCATAGCAGGCGCAGAAACGCATGAAAGGTATACTTTTACAAAGAAATCTTTCACAACCATGCCACCACCGTATCAAGGTCCGACGGCCCAAACTTCCAACCCCACACACTCGAAAGCTACGACACCAGCGTTTTTCGTGCCCGCAGAGCACAACGGCTCATTCGCGAAAGTCGGGCATGCGGCACTCGAGCCTTTAAATAGCGACTCATCGAGATATAGTCCGTAGTTCCCATCACTACACATAATATATAAATGTCCTTTCCGAAAGAGCAATTGAATCGATCGACATACCCGCCTCCAAAGGATATATATTCAGGCTCGCAAAGCGCGACGTAGTCATTCCTCCCAGTCCACTTAAATATCCGCACTTCGCGGCCAACGTACTTCCATAGAAAGCTAGACAAGGAAGGATCAGTATTGAGGCGCTGAGACATTGTACACACTCAGACAAACCTTTCTCCGCTCCCATAATACCCCTTTCCCCGACTGGGATGCACACCCTCTTTCCCCATCCACGCCCCGAACAGAGCGTCCCCGGCGTCCTTGATAACGAGGAATACACCTGCCGGTCCTGCTGTGCCGGGTTTAACCTGCATATGGGCTTCGCATCGATCATACAACGTATTCAGAGAGATCCCATGTTGATCCAATGAATAAATCAGAGTCCACTTCCTCGGCAAGCGAGCAAGCGCCGGAAGATGCGGGCGAATCTGATTCCATGATGATGTCAGATCTAGCTTTGGCGAGATTACGGGAGAGAGTATGGACACACCAAATCAGCCAAATGCGCATGCAAGACAGGTGCCGTCGATGCCTTGCGTCCATGCAGATCAACACTCCCGGTCTTCTTCTCTATGAAATGTGCAACGTCCGGCGCCGAAGCGCTGCCATTCAAACCCACAAGCTCCCGCTCCTTCGCTTCTTCTCGAATCGCCTCACGGTCCAAATCGTCCGAGTATCCCTTGTCCCAATCGTACTGTTCTCCACCGTACCCCGGGGCCCCAGACGGGGGTATATATATATGTGATGCAAAGGGTGAAACAGTGATCGGGCGCCCAAAGGGTGTTCCGTGGGAGATCTGAACGTCTGATACGGGGTGGGAGGTGGTGCGATATAATTTCGTCCCTGACTGCGGAGACCGTTCAGAACTTTGGGACCGTCTGTGCCTCTGTCGTGAGCTGTCCTCAGCGAATATGGATTCGAGAGACGAATGAGAGTGATGTGCGTGCGGTTTGGATGAGTTGAGGAAAGAGGACATGAATCGCGAAGAAAGGCTGGAGAGGGTCGAATGAGAGAAGCGCCGGTCTTTTGGAGGCGTCAAGTGAAGAGGATCAGAATATTCATTTGGAGGCGATGCTGTGAACAGTTCAGCGTTGTGTGTGTCGGCTACGGGGGGTGCTGGAACGATTGGGAGGGAAAGAGTAGATGATCTTGAAGGTGAATGATCAGGTCGTGGTGTGTATGTCGTCATGTGAGGGAGGGGCTGATGGACAGAGGCTTTTGAGGTGAAGAAATTGTGATCTAGATCGAGGAGGTCGTCCATAGGGACTTTTGTATTCGCATGATCCGTCATGATATCAGTTTGCGGCATGAAACACGACTGCTGCGGTCCGCTGGCAGTTGCCCCATTCCTTGATAAATCCTTGTCACCGTGATCGTCGTGGTAAAAGTCGAGAAGTTGGGGAATATGAGGAACAGGCTGGGAAGTCTCACTAGTTTTCTTGTCGTCCTTCAGCCAATAAAGTGGCTCATCCTCGTGTTTCAAGAGCTCATCCAGCACTCCCTGCTTGTTGCGATCTGACGCAACCTTCGCGTCCTGAGCGAACTTGTCGAAGAATGTAAGGGTAGGACTATGAGCAGTCAGGTTCCTGTTGATAAACGTTGGTCCTCTTTGTTCTGGTAAACAAGAATCCAAAGCCAATGGGTCCTCGGAGGCGGGTACGGATACGAAAGCGCCGAATTCTGAGTCCGACTCGGAAGTATCCTGAATCATCCTGGACTTGACATTGTTGGGTTCATGTTCAAGCGCAGGTACGTCTGACGAAAACAGCGTCGAAAACAAGTCATCGCTAGCGGTTTCATTCCCAGTAGGCAATCGTTTCGTGGCCGATGATGTAAGAGGATTGAATCTCGTTGACGCCATTTTCTCTACTTTACCTGAAGTCGGTGAGCAAGTCCCTAAACTAGCCTGATTCAGGACTCACCACAGGCAATAGAGAATCAAGTCCATTTACATGAGGCGAACGTTGATCGATGTTAGATGGGCGTTACCTCATAAGTCGCGTCCACGTGGAAGTTCAGATTAGATGGATCTTATCGCCTGTTCCAAAGAGCACGTCTGTGTCTCACTCAATCTCTGGTTAAACCGCTGCTCTGCCATATCGGCAATGTTGTGAACTGATTAAGTAGCTGGTCCCTAGAGCAAGCGCTGACTGAAAGGAAGTTCTTTTTTCATGACGGTCTGTGCCTGTAACTGTCATGACCCGACGGCCTAAGGTAACTCTATGGCCAGCCATCACAAGATCGTACCTTTGGGCTGTTGTTTTACTCTTTCCCATAATGCTTCCATACCGTCCGATCTTCATTTATTTAGGTTGGTACATTCGTTCCATGATGCGAGGACAACTTCACGGAGCATGACATATAAAAGGTAAGCTTATAAATACTTACAGCTCATCCCCAAGCTAGAAAGCTAGAATCCGGGTACCTTGGAATACAACGTTCCAGATAATAATAGTGTACTTGTACATCATTGGAGATCGTGAATACGAGCTCGGGGTGAGTATACTGTCTTCGTCTGTTGAGAAGCAATAGCAGGAACAAAGGACCAAGTGAACAGTTATGAGAGGAGAGCCTGTCTTTCCATCTTCCAGAAATCGGAGGTATGAAGAAAAAGTTGTGCGATGAATTTGGTCGCCGACGGCCGTTGAAAGAAGCAATCTTGGTCTTTCGGGCTGTTGCAGGAGAACAAAAAAAACAGATGATATGATGAAGTTCGCATGATGAGAGGGAGATTCGAACTCCCGCCCCCGAAGAGACCAGATAAGCTTGAAAGCCTTAGTCTGGCGCCTTAGACCGCTCGGCCATCTCACCATGTATGACTTTCTGATTTGTGCTGATCAGTCAATGTAATGATATCGGTGAGGATGTCGAGGACGGTCTGCCGAGTATCGGGTATCAAGTAAGTATTAGGTACAAGGTACTGGATGCATACCAGGGCAAGGAGAGATGAAGTAGGTTATGACGATGGTTATAGCCAGAAGGGCCCATGGATAAATTTGAGGGCGATTCATGTATTGGCACTTTGGAAGGTCAGCACAGGCGTGGGTCTGCAGGTCTACAGCACACGGGCTATGAGAAGGACTGATTGAATAAATCGCAACCCGCGTTATATTTTTTCTGTTCCAAGTACTTTCAAGTGAAGGTCTGAACCCTGGCACACCACTGGATTTAATCCACGTTTCACAGGAATGCTACCGATGTCGAAGAGCATGTACACATGAAGCTGGAGAAGTCAGGCTACGACGTGCTGGAAGCTCAGAAAGGAGCGAAGCTGATCATGATGCCGTCGTCACATGCATACCATTTCGACATGAGGGCCCATGCGGCGACTACAGTAAAAGGGAAAGTCGAAGCACGTCCAGCCAAAAACTCACAAGTGGGAGAGCCATACTTGCTTCGCAGGTTACACTTGAATCATCAATTTACCTTAAATGCTCAACGTGATCTGATTCTGATTGGTGACGGGGCACATTTGATATCCGGACAAGAGCAATTGTGTCCTATGAACCTTCGATGGACACGGGACCGACACGGGACGTGGACTGAAGACAAAGACAGCGACGTGATTCGTATACAAACCAGGGAAGCCGCACCACGGCTTGTGCCACAAATGGAAGTTGGGTTGGTAATACATCGGTAGTCGGATCGAAACAACAAAAACCGCGATTGCTGCATGGCGTGCGCAGGAAAAGAAATTTCACGACGATCAAAGAACTTGAAATTGTGGCGTGCTGCGTTACAGATCGTAGAGATGAAAGTGTGTATCCGGTCTGGCGGGACGATAAAAACAAAAGTGGCGCCACTAAGTAAGAGGGATTACATACATCGACACAGCCACCATTTCATCGATCATGGCTCCCATGATAGGGCTCTTTTGAGAAATTGGTTAGAGCGCTACGCTAACCGGCCAGTGGACGACTAGGCTATAAAATTCCTGCAAAGATGTCCGTTATTCCCACTGGTAAGCCCTCCCTTCTCCTTTCCTCTATCCTTTTTGTCAGTCGGTCGAGGCCTCGCCGCAGTTGATCCGGGGCGATAGGTTATTTTTTGCGAGAAGGAGATTATAGTGGCGTGGCCTCGAGTTTACCACGAGCTGACGTTTGGTTCTTCCTGCCTGGTACTCCCTTCTCACCTGTTCTCGAGAACTGACAATCGATTGATTGTCTTGTCTTGTCTTGTCTCGCATTCCAGACAAATGAGCTCCTCAGGCTCGTCTCATTCTGTTGTCTCCACCCCGCAGTCGTCGTCGCATGAAGGTGCTCCCCTCTTTCTTGCTTGATGTCGTCTTCTCTCCTCGACCTCCCTTCTCTTTCAACTATTACAGAGACATCTGACCTCATTGTTGATCCCACAGTGACGACGCCCACTAGTATCGTTCCCTCTTCTATCTCAAGCAGTTCGCCAACGACACCCTCTCAAAGTCCGAGTTCCAGTTCCAGCTCTTCGCCTTCGTCTTCACCGTCTGAAAGCCCCTCTTCCAATCCTCCCAGTTCATCTCCAAGCAGTCCACCACCCAGCCCCTCCAGTCCCGCCGCATCAGCCCCCCAAACCTCTAACAGCCCCTCCTCAACAACCTCCGAGCTTCCTCCGAGCACCTTGATCACTGCGCCTCCATCAACTTCTCTCACCTCCACAACATCAACGTGCGTACTCCCATCTTCTTATTCTCCAATCTTCTTATTCTCCAATCATTGATATTTGGAGCCAGTTTAACCTCCAACGGGCAAGTTATCACCACCGTTTTCACGTTGACCTCCGTCATCCCGGGTGCGGTGATAACCAGCCCCGCAGCGCAACATAATTCATCCACAAATGTCGGTGCAATCGTCGGTGGGGTTGTCGGAGGTCGGTCTCTCCTCTTCTCATCTTTCGCACCCCTCTAAACCACTGTTTCCTGGACAGGCGTAGTCGGAGTTGCGATTCTCCTTTTACTCGTTATTCTACTCATCCGCCGACACCGCCGCAACCGCGAAAAGTACCTATTCGACGGAAACTTTGACCCTGCGCACGTCGTGGCCCCAACTGCACCTCGCATTTCAGTACCCGAAGATGACAACGGTGACGACGGGATGGTCGGGCGGCTTGGTACAGGTGTCGGCGGGGTCGTAACCCCTTTCCAGTACGTCCCTCAAGGCCAACAGCACCCGGAGATGCGGAACGCGGA